CAAATATGAAGAAAAGCGACAAACACAAAAGTCATAATAATAGACCGAATAACGATCAAGAAAACTTGTGTAAGGTAATAATAGTGACAAGTCGTTTCTGCACTCAAGGTTCAGGATTGAGTTCATGGAGTGCCAATGCCTCATCAGTGCATAAAATATTGGTTCCAGCCCCCTTCGATCCGGCGCCCTTGACTCTATAGATTACTTTGAAAGACGAGTCTTTTGGAGCGACGTGTCCGCAGTCAATTAAGTGCTCTTGTATCGAACTGGTTTTCTTTTTAGGTTCTCTTTTTAGGAGTCAAGCCGGATAGTGTTCCGAGATGCTTTTGGAAAGTGATCGCTTTGTGAGGCCTGTGTAACGTGCCCCACATGAGCAAGCAAATTTATAGATACACATTGATGTGGCCCAAAGCGAAAGTTTATCCTTAACACACCCCAGAATGTTAGGCCGGTTAGAGAAAACCATTCGATGTTTAGCTTTGTGGAAGGTTTTATCCAACGATTTTGAAATCATTTTACTCAAGATTTCAGCAGCCGTATCTCCTTTGAATTCCATATTCATAAACAGTTTTCTTCTGCTCTGTCAAAGCTTTTTCTGACGTAGTCTAGGTGTCAAGTTGCTATCGATGAACCTAGGTGTGTGACCGTTTTTGATGAGGGTCTGTCGAAGATGAAGTAGTTCTTCATTTATTGTGCCATTAGAACAGATTCGCTTGATCCTAGAGGATAAAGAGTGAATTAAATTTCTCTTTCGACTCAACTATGGGAATCTATGTATTATCAATTCCAAGTAAGCTTTCTATATATAGATCTTTGTAAATAACCATCAGGCATTCTTTTCAAACGGACATCAAGAAAATAAAACTCATGGTTTGCTTCTGCTTCTAAGGTGAATTGTATTGACGGGTGACGATTATTGAAAATATTTGAGATTTCATTTAGGTTCATGTCTTCTTCACAAATAATGAAAGTAACATCCATATATCTCTTATATAAATGATAGCTCTCAATTACTGGTCGAAGTACAGGATTTTCTAGATTGGCCATGAAACAATCAGACAGGAGAGGAACCAATGGCGATCTCATTGCAACCCCATCTGTTTGTCTATAGAAAAAAATCATTAAATTTAAATTGCACGTTGAGCGTACATCGTAGAAGTAGTTCTTTAAGATAATGTTTTGGGATACACATATCAAGATTATTGTTTTCAATATAGTAACATAAAAATCAAATAGTTTCTGTGAGAGAAACATTTGCAAACAGCGAAGTGAGAACTAATGAAAACATTTTATTACCAATCATGTTGATATTTCTAGTTGAGTCGACAAATTCAAAGGAGTCCAGAGAATTGTATTTATTGATATGATTTTTAACAGGTTGTAAAATGTCAACTAACCATTTAGTACCAGAGTGATATGGGGAGTTGTTCATATCAAGTATAGGACATAAAGGGACATTATTCTTATAAACCTCTTTCTACCAACCGCAACCATATATCCCTCTTGAAAATCTGAGGCATTAATAATGGTGCAGGACGAAGTCACCTGTTCCGTATCTGTTTTCGCTGGCGTGTCTCAAGGGGGCCGAAAATGGTGTAAGAAAAAGAAAGGTCGAGAAGCAGAGTAGACAATGTTCATGGAAGAATAGTTAAGGCATAACGACTTAGTCTATTTCTCTAGTATTAAGGTACTTACTAATCAACAGCATTCTAATATGTTGAAGAAAGTAAGTGTAAACAAGTTATGAGTGGATAAGGAACTATGTAAATAATGGTGGTTCAGAAAGAAGCATGAAAGTATGGAATTATGTGTAGTTATAAAATATAGTGCTGAAAAGAGTATTCTGACAAATAAATGGCTTTCTCCCTTCTTTGTCGAAGCTATTTGAGCCATTTTTGGAATTTAAAGGATCTTAAGCAGGCTTCGTTTTTATCGAATTGCCTAGTTTGCTTGTAAAAGGATTACTTGATAGGAAGTGGAGCCGATTTAGTGTTTTAAACACGATTGAATGTGGTATTTTGCATAAATAAGTCAGCATCACTACCGTTGGTTCGTGAAATTCCACTTGATATAAGGAGCCGTAATTTGACGTGTTCTGCCCTAAAGACACGGATGGATTGAAGTTATCTCCCCACCGTCATGTTTGCTGATCATTAACGCCACCCTCCCTCCTTTTGTGATGTTAGGCTCTCGCACCTTTGTGGTATGTATGAATATTGTTTTAATGAAGGCCCACAGTTGGAATACACTGTCTCTACTTGTTCCATGTTACAAGCAAATCAGACGGCTAAAGCGTTTGTATTATGGGTTAGACATTCATTCATTATATCATACGGCTGTGAAGATATATATGATATATATATTGTATATGATATAGGCTATAAGAGACAGGTCAGATTATATGTGGTTAAGAGATAGTAAGAACTAATGACATATCAAAGGATATAAAAGAGTAGAAGATTGTAAAATTGTCAGGGTAAGAAAAGTAAAACAATGAGTAACTCACAATAATTAAGGACATTTGAGCTTCTTTTGATCTGCCTAAGTTGATCAGAATCCATAAGATTAGTGAGTTATCTGTCTACTAACTCGTAAACGTCCTCTATTGTCGTGTTCTGATCATTGTATAATCTGTGCTCTACCTAAATTAAATAACAAACTTGAAAAAATTAAACTCTTACATCATTCAAAGAAAGTCAAATACAGAAATTACTCAGAAGAAAATGTCCAAAATCTGAAAAGCATGTTTACAAGTAACTAGTTGATGTTGTCACCTGTTATCTTAAATTCTGTTCTGATACTTGTTGTACCACTGAATTTACTATTGCAAGTTTTGATCGACTTACATCTCCACAACTAAAGTGATTACAGAGCGTAAAAGAAAGAATTTTCGAGGAGAAAAACCGCATCGAAGCTCTGTTATGTCCCGATATGAATAATGAATGGTAACTTTGGGATCTATTTATGGACCAGTACTATGCATATATTTTTATCGTATAATTGTTAAATAACTAAACTATTCAAATTCATGTCCCTCTTATCATTATACGATCTACCATTATTCAGTTATGGCCTGTCTATCGATTACTACCTCTCTTATTCACAGCCACATTTAGCTAAATCTTGTACAAATGTTTTTTCTTATTTCATGGTACGATGTAGTCCGTCTGTTTTGTATATAAACCCAGTATGCTTGAAATAAATGATTCATGCCACGGAGGCTGAGATTAGTGTTCTGGACTTAACTGGCAGGGCTAGGCAGAAATCAGGACCGATAAGTACTCTAGACTGCTCGTATGGGTTTTATGTGTCATTGATCCGATCGATAATTCACTGCTCTCTAATTGGCGGTATTATCACGTTATGCATTAACAGGGAATTCAGGTCACAAGTTTTAACAAGTTCAAAAGTTAAATGATCTAACAAACCAAGAGATGAGACGTCTGAACTCAATGTTTTCTCACAAACTCCTATTTTGTAAAAACTCTCCAAGTATGTGGAAACTGTTTCAAGAACTTACAGGTGAGAGGCATATTAGAAGCGATAACCAGCTGGATGTTTGCGACTTAAGTCTTTCGTATGTCAGTTATCTGATGTCATGCTCCATATATCCACCCACGGGTTCGAAGAATAGTTGTGTTCCGATTTTCACTGAGAAGGATGTCCGAAAATGTCTCCAGTCACTTAATTCATCCCAATGTTTGAGACCTGATGGCACCCCAAACCTCCTTTTTGAAAAATGTGCTGACGTTCTATGTTGTTCATTCACGGATATTTTAACACATCCTTGTCAACTAACCTCATACCGAAAATATGGAGGGAGATAAAGATAATCCCTATACATAAGAAAGAATCTGATGATAAAAATATGAAATTTAGACCCATAGCAATAACTCCACCTTTCCTCAAAATAATGGTACAATTATTAATACTCCCACTTCAACCTGCATTAAAAGAGCTCAGTGATTCGTATCAATTTGCTTACAAAAGCAAAGGAAGCACCTTAGATGCCGTTGCTATTCTGCACCACAATATAGTGTTAGGCTTTGGAAAGGGTAAGAAGCATATTCGGTGTGCTATTCTGGACTACGCTTCTGCCTTTGACTCTATCCCATGACATCTCCTACCTAGCAAGTTGATCAGCGTCAACACTGACAGCTGGATAACCAATTGGCTATGTTCCTACCTCTCTGGAAGAGAACAGTACACTGTATTTGTAGGAAATTGTTCGACGTCCATACTGTCTCAGGAAGGTGTGCCACAAGGAGCTGTTCTTTCACCTCTTTCTCTTTTTTTCTGAATGATCTACCATCTTCCACAGCGAACACTTTTGTGAAATACACGTATGACCTCACTGTATGTATGCCAATTCGTACCTCTTTACACCTCATAGAAATGAACGAGTTTTTGTCTCGTGTTGAATGGTGGTCTGTTATTAATAGTCTCGTACTTAATCCGGCAACCTGTTAACTTTAGCCTGAAACATGAACAGCACCTAAACACCGTGTTAGAATCCCATGATGCTTGTACCATTGGATATTCTTTGATTGACACAATGTTGGAAGTCAATTATCTTGGTGCTTCCTTTTCCTCTGATCTTTTGAGGTCATTATTAGTATGGTTGTGGATAGACATCTTAAGTCTTGCAAACTCCTGGAAGGTGTTATCTTATCAGATACTAACCATCCACTTCATTCATATATTTCTCCTTGTATATCTTCTTGTAGAACGAGACGTCGATACATTAGAATCCATGCCCGCAAGTGAAACTTTAAAAGTTATGTAATACCTTATCTAGCAAATATACTCTGTGGTGAACAGGTTGTTAGTTAACCTAGTCAATAACCTGAATTCATAAGCATGTCTCGAATTCGATAAGTTGTACAGACTCAGATTTTTCATTTCTTTCATTTCTTTTTCGCTTTTTGGTGAAAAATCTTGTTGAAATACCTTGTCCTGAGAATTTTGTATTGTACCAAAATATGTTATTGAATAAGGCCATTATGGGCGGAATGTTTGGCTCGTCTAGGTCACCTGCCTTGGAGCTGTTGTTACCATTTCGTTACTAATCACCATGCTATATTAATCACTGTACCTCTTTACAAGTGATCTAGAAAATCTTGCATATTTTTGTCGACATGCCTGCGTTGATTTTCTTGGGTAGGACGTGGGCTTTTGCGTCTGATGACTTTGTTTGTACTGGTGTTGTTAACTTTTTATTGAGGATTTTGTGGTAAGTTACCTGTCTGATATTTGATTCATATAGTGCTTTCATCATGGTTATGCCTCTCACGTTAGCCAGCGACCCAACTGTTTGTCTTCCAAATGTAATAGACAAGGTACTAACGTTTATCGATTTATATTAATCTTCTCTGCAGGTTTTCTGTGTGCTTATGTTTCTTGTAATAGGAGCTTTACTGGTTTTTGACACAGCGTTATCATATTCAAGCAGCAAGGGTGGTGTGATGGAAACCAGTTTACGTTCGTCTGTCCCTTTTTACCTCGGGGCCGTTTGCGTATTTTCCCTTATATCGTCAGTGCTTCATTGTGTTAACTTGTATCTAGTTGTCAATAGGCACACATTATGTGACAAACAGGTGAGTGCCGGGTGATATGTTCATACTGTCTGGCTTGAGTTTCGTCATGTGATTATCGATAATATTTTCCTGTCATGCTGCGAAAACAAAGTTATCGTCAATTTTTTTTTCGTACCTGTAGTGGTCAATGCAAAGAGTCCGTGGTTGGTTTGTCGAGTGGTTTTTTAGATCTACTGACTTACTAAATATAATCATACAAATTAAAAGTTTCGAAGGCTTATCTTACGCGCAACCATTTAAAACCCATTTTTACAATATGGACACAAGATTTCTCAAAACCAGGGTCATCTAAATGGGCGTTTACTTAATAATCTCTTTAGCAAATATCTCCAAAAGGGAGTCGAGCGAGCTTGTTTTATGTTTTAGTGACCTTTGGTCAGCCTTAACATAGTAGTCATTTAGAAACTCGCTCTCATATTTTGACCATTATAGAATATAATTGGTCACAAAACTTACATTTCCTTATAGTGTCTTAGTTTATGAACCAAATAACTCCTCAAGTAAATTCTACAATTGTTTGTCAATTGTCTGTCCTCATAAAGCTCATTGTTATCTTCAACACGACTAAAGGCATACTATTGGAATAAGAATAATATTATCAGGAGGAATTCTTTCAGTTAAACGAATACTTTTCCCTTTTACGAAGAATGAAAATAAAAGTACTGTATTTCGACCTGTATAATGTGTGGAACAACTGTAGAGAAACAAACCTACTTCTAACTCGGTTCAAACTTTTGGATTCTGTAATACTTTTCAGATTGTACAAAACCTCTAAGAACCGACTCGCAAAAAGTATTCTGTTTTCTGTTCTATCAGGTCATATTTTCACCCTTTGCGAAATTTCTGAGTACCGCTATACCTATTACAGGTTTACAATCATTGTGCGCTGTTTTGTTGGACATTATTGTGCCCTGCGATTGTCTACTGAGGAAGGAAGTGCCTGAGATGCTTATGAAAATCTTAAAACTATGTAGTCACACACCTCAGAGTGATTCAGGGAATACAATATTGCAAGATGATATGAGGAATTCAGAAGCTTAGAATGTAAGGGTTGTACTTTGCTCGACAGAACTGTCATAAACAGTTCTCGTCTAGTTATATTTTTGTTCTCATTGATTTATTCAGAATATACTCCTGCTCTGTACGTCTCTTCAAAGTTTGATTGTCTTGTTCGTGTGTCGCATATTCATTCTGGTTACTTTTTGTACCAATACTTATGTTTTAAGTAAATAAAAAACTGTCCTTAGAAAGTTCTTTGATCTCAAACAACTAATCCAATCTCAAACATTTGAAAATGCATGAATCGTAACTCTATTCAGTTATTTTGTGTTATAAAAGTTTTGAAATTCTGTGAACTGTTATAAGTAAAATCAAAACGTTTTGGACAAACACTCTTTAGTATGATCTTTTGATATCTTACCTAGAGCCTATTATGTACCCCAAAATCAATTTTTAACCTGATCCAGTTTATTATCATAGCTTAACTTGCTGCCTGCTCTGGTGTAAATTAGTCCAGCTTCAAAGTTCACATATTAAAAGTACTAAAAGATGAACAAAAAAGAGAAGTGTTGGTGTATTTATGCCTTACAGTATCGAAGTTTACTAGGATTGAATGTATTTGACCTTCTAAAACACAAATTTCTCGTACTCTGATAGCGACTGTGACATCAACATTAAACTAAATGATATGTCTTTTACTAACAGTTCATAACCTCTTCCTAACCTACCTTTACACAGACTAACCTATCACATGCTTTGATTACTGATGGTCAGGTTTTCCCAACACGTGTTGTAACTACAGTGGATACATGTTTCGAATTCTATTCACTGAATTACATCCTTTACTAAGTAGTTTACTCCTAGGATCATACATGACCAATACTTCAAACTCATTTATAATCAAGTTCTTGCAGACTGCGCATGTGTTTATTATCAAGAGTTTTTATTTCTTAGCTGTAGTATAGGATATCGAGGACTATACAGTAAATAAGCAAACACCTCTTCCTTCTCTGATGATATATGGGCTCATACACTTAGATTTAAGCCACTCTTTGGGTTGTAGGTGGTGTTAGTACTACCCATTTGCAGAAGTCAATATGCTTGAAACTCAACTAAACTTACAACTGTAATCAAGAGCTATACTCACAAAATCAATGTTTTCAACTATCCTACTTTTGTTAGACTTCGTATCACTACAGATCAGTTTTGAAATAGCGTTTTTCGTTTTAGAGGTAATTGCCACATCTCCAATACTCTCTTTTTGGTAACTGTGGTTTCTAAAGGACAGGTAAACTTAGCCATTAAATGTGATCAATATTATCTATTTGTATCACTAGATAGCGGAAAACTACTAAAACCATACTTCAGGAAGTGTGTTTGCTAATAACAAAGGTTTGAATAGTTAAACTTACCATTGTTCCTAAGAATCTATGGGATTAATCTCTTAAGTTCTGTTCTCTGTCTCCAGTCATATTATCACACCAACTTCACCAGGATTTTTAGATCAGATGTTTTTCCACACAGTTTGTTAATGTGCAGTGGGTAAATAGAGAGTAGCTGGTGGTCATTTGAATTGCAATCGACTGATTCCTAGTGTTTGAGGTGGATGTCAATAAGCATACCTTGGAAAGTTTTTCCCAATGAGCCTAGAAAGAACTTTTACTAGTAATCCTACATGCTTAGTGGCGCAACCGCATGACTCTAAGGTAAACTGTATGGAAATGATCATTTATCTTTCCGAGAAATATTATTTTTAGTTTCGTGTTGTTTAATTCATATTTTTAAGATCCTTTTGCCGAAACCAGAAGTTAGTGGGGCAAGAAGTGCTGTTTCTTGTGTTTCCGATGGATCTAAACAGTGTATAAGTAAAAAAATATCTTTTGGTCTTTACAATGTCTTTTTTGATCCTGGCTCACTATTTGTTGTCATACAAGGCTATAAGAAATAAGTTTGGTTATCAATATGTCTCATCATCAGATAGATTCTTTACATTCTCGTGGGTTCTTAAGTCTCTTGAATTTAAACCCATATGTCTTGTTAACTTTCCTCTTCGAATCGATTAGGACAGTATCCAAAGTTAAATTATAGGTATGTGAGATTGTTAGGTAAGTAAAAGTCAACTATTTTCGTTTTAAAATGCTGTCTTAGTGTCTATTGTTATTAATCGTAAAAACCTTTGAAAGTGAGGGGAAATATGTCTATTTAACTGGTATGACTTATCAATAAAAAGTGCTTTATTAAAGTCCGTCCTTATCGTAATCAAATATTTGTATACAATCAGTTTCGAAGCTTCAGAGGCATATCTTACCTTGTTATCACACTTAGTCCTACATTTTCTTTGACTTAGTGTATGGATAGCGTATAAATCAAATTTTTTCACCAGCATTCAACTCTCTTACGACCATTAAGAGGTAATTATTTAGAAAAAAGTCTAACTAGCGTTGGATACATAATAAAAACTCTATACATGCTTGGTAGGTTTTACAATTTAAGCTTTATACATTCTCCTTAACTCCCTTACTTATTTTGTTTGTCACTGTCTACTCAGACTTAGAGAACCCTTTGCTTTATGACCCTCGATTTTCGCATTAGCGTAATGTAGGATAATTAGAGCGATAAAACAGCAAAACGGTGTAAATTTATATTGTGTTAAGTGATGGTCGTTTCCGGAGGGTTTTAAATGTAATTCCATAAGGTATTTTAGATATATAAGTTTTGCTTCTGTTCCTTAAATTAGTCTAGATTTAGCTTGTTCATATTATTAAGGAAAGTTATCTTTCATACTTTACTCCCACTATATTGCAAAAAATCTATTTGTTTAATTGCTTGTAAACTTTCGAAATATTTTTGCTCATACATTTTATTTCAGGTTGTTGATTGTTATATAGCAGGAAATTCCATTGGGGTAGCCCATGTAATTGGTTTCTACTTTTTTCTAATGTTACACTATCGTAAGACTGGTGCCTTTTGGAGCCGATTGACTAATGACCCTACTGTATTCAAGCAGGGTTGTCTGAATCCAAATGTTAATCTTTCCACGAAGCAGTTAGTGATGCTTAAGCGAAGAAAGGCTGTTCAACGGAAGTTGGAAAGTTTACGGGCGTTTCGTCGTTTACCTTTTTGTAAAACTGATGGATCAAAAATGCAAACTGATGAAACAATAATAACTTCCGCCGCGGCTTTGTTTTCAGATATATTTTACGTATGTTCATAGTGAATTTCGCGTACTTTTAAATTTGCCTACATTTCTTTTATCTGATGTATGGTTTTGAGTCTTAGGCAGATAAAATAACGTAGGTGTTATCTCTGGGTTGGTGTGCCGTGACATTGTACTATTTCTGTTTGTATTTCTGTAGGTGATACACCCAAGTACAGGTTTGATTAAGGCTTAGATCAGATGAATTTTTTCTAGTTTCTAACTAGAAACAATCATTTTTGGAAAAGTTATACCAATATAAGTGCAAATAGAAATGTGAAATTTGGCGAACGGTGATCAGGTTCTTAATTATGGTTAACATTTCTACTTAAAATGTTGTTTATATGTGATAATCAGGAAAAAGTAGGCTTATATTGAGGCTTGATAAAGTCTGACGTACAACTTACTGTCGAACTTTTTACGGTTTCCACAGCTGTCGACTACAATTAAACACTCATCATGAAAACTTCGTCCATAATAGAAAGGCACTTGAAACAACACAAGTGGGGACAATCGAATGTATCTGACCACACAAATTACAGAATGTCTTAGTAAAATCTGAGAACCATAAAGTAAATACTTCGTTTGCAAAATGTCAATCAATCGTTTCAAACTTCATTTTTTCTTCGCTTCCACAGCAATCATTCTCTGTTCTCGCTCTCTTTTCTCCGATCTTCTTAACCTTCTGCCTCCAAGCATTTCCTTTTCGATTTATGTTACATACTCCTTATATCTGTGGAAATCAGTAGCACATCACACTAGACAGTGAGTCTTTTGCGTTTACTATAGCTCCAGGCTCATAACATAATTGGCAAAACTAGTCGACTGATTGAGATTTGTCTATCTTGTAATTAGGACGATACTGTCTGCATATTGGAAAATTTTACTCCATATACACTATTTCCACTCGTGTTCCTCAGTTTTGTTTCTAAAATATAATTGATGACGAGATTCAAAAAGATGTGGTGATTGGGCAATACTATGTTTATTCGTTTAGTTTGAAATGGTGGATTGAGATGGTTTTTTTCTTTCCCTAACAACAAGAAAATTCATGGACTATGAGCAGAAAATAGAAGCTTTAAAAAAGATATGCCATAGTCAAAAGGGTACATATACATCAGACTAAAACATGGCCAATTTTAAAATATATTCCCTTGCTATTATTAGCGTTAGATACGGCTTACAGGGATGCAGCGTTACTCACTGGATAAAGTTTTGGACCTAATTTTTTGTCCATAGTAATACGAAAACGATAAGAGACACTTTTCATTGTTAAGTAAATTGTTGTTAAAGTGCTCTTGATGAAAAACGCCCAACTTAGGAACACTTTTTTTGAATGCAATCACAGTAACGGCTGAAACACTCCATAAATAGACATACTCTCAATTTGACGTCCGTACATACCTTTACATCCTCACTTTTCCATTATCATAGACACTAATCAACACACTAATTTCTCTGACGTTATTTTTGCTTCTCAGCTAAGTAACTTATGGATTAAATGAAAAAGCAACTTACACTCACAACTAGGTAGTAAGACGCCCCCAAATGCCCTGGTACGGCCGAGAGTGGGGAGAGTCAACTCTCCCTCTCGAAATGCTCTCATATGGTCACGTGTATATAGCCTCTGTCAGGGAAGTCTTACTCACTGTTTTCTCGTGGCGGGGGTGTTGTTTATGAAATTGAGAGGACGAAAAGCGAATGTCCGGCGCTTTAACCGGGTTGGTGGATGTGGATGATCCACCTAGGGGAATTGGAAAACCCTGATTCCAAACCAATGGTGCACATGGGCTCCAATATCCTAAAGGAACAAATGGCGTATGAATCAATCGTTGATCACCGGGTACCATGGAACTGCATCTTCTCACGATGCTCCACTGCCTTGTGGATCAGATCTTTCGGTCAAAAGCTCCGGGTGTGGGCCCCTAAGAAAACCACCTACTTCAGTTTGAGAACCTGGACAGTATCACAGCCCTCACACAAATCAAATGAGATTTGTGTAGCGCATATATATCTGGTGCCTCTTTGTACAAATATTTATGTGTTTAAATAAATAAGGTAGTAAGACACATCAATCAACGTATTATTTAAATTAATTGTTTTGCGTGAATATCCATTTTTACACTGGATTTTATACATGTTCGTTCGAAACCCGCTTGTATTGAAATTTGTAGACAGTGAGTTTCAGGTTGTTTACTTGTTCCTGTACCAGGGAAGTAATTATATTAACAAACTTTAAAGACATAAAGTATTGTCTTCGTTCAATCAGGCAGTTCTAGTTTTCGTCATCACTATTATCCATAGCTAATTATTTTACGTCAACTTTCTAAAGCAAATACTTCTACTAGTTGACAACACAAGAACCATAATATTGCAAAGTAAGTAAAAATTTATTAGCTTTGTATTTCGTAACTATGTTAACTGACTTGAGCTTTTAGTTTTTCGTGGGAATCGTGTCATAATGTAATTTCTCATGTAAAAAACGGTGTCTTTGCTTAGATTATGACGTTATGGTTTCTTTAGGCGTTTTTATTTTCTATCAATAACCAGAGTGTATGTTGTGTGTCAAATAACACTTGAACGCTCGTATACTTACCTATTTCTGTTCAGGAATATCCTATAAACAAGTGCTGACCAATCTGTCTTCGTGACATGCGCTGTTTTCTCTTTGATTGGGATACCAAGTTCAAACTTATCAAGTAATTGAAAACAGTTCTCTAAGTTCTTTTTTCTCCATAATCATTCATTTCCAATTGTCTTTCGAGTTTTTGACGATTAAACTGAAAATAAACTAATGGAACTACAATATTACTTTGTACTGTTAGCCGGATAACAGTTATTCAGTCCAGATTATTTTTTCGTCTATGATGGTAACTATATGTCGCCTCAGGTCACGCTAAAAAAGAAACCGAAACCACGTCACTTTAGACAGTTTCTTTAATTGTCGTTCAACCATTGACATTGTTCATCTCTCATACCTAAGAAATCAATAGTGGACAATCTGAAAGGGCTCATTTTGATACAAAGTATATCGTATGTTCATTTAAATTTGTGAACATTTCCCTTTTTATGTTATAGACTATCAATGCAATCTTATCGATATACTAACTATCTCATATTTTGCATGTGCGTGTACACGTAGAAATTAAGATTGGGGTATATGGTGCTTGTGTTCAGATGCTTTTAAAATCTTTATAAAACCACATAAAGGAGCTCTTTAACACAACCTTTTTTGCTAATCACAGCTAAAAGAAAAAAAATTTAATTGGGTCTATGACAAAATGCTATTTAAATGTACTCTTCTAGTTCTCCGTCCGTAAAGGCTATATGTAAACAACAGGTAGTAATCCAAGACCTCATACTAGGATGCAATTATACTTGATACGACAATTTTTGAGAAATTCAGGTGAATTTTGACGTCTCGTTTTTTCGTCCAGTTAGCTTCTTCAAAGCATAACTACAGTCGAATATTAGTAATCACATTCACAGTGAATGGGTTAATACAAGGGTAGCTGTAAACTGACTATTCTCAATTACCGTTTATTTGCAGACTACAATGTACAGACATTGCTTTAAGTTATATATTCTATATCTACTAGTTGGATTCGACGCGCAAGTCATCGAATTAAATTTGAATTTATTGTATAACGTACATGTACATTATATTCCAACTATACTTATTAAGCACACAAACTTCTCAGTTATCTATCCCCTGTGAATCTTGAATGATGGTAGAAATGTTATTCCTCACTAACCGCTCTATGACAAATGTGTCTATCAATCAAGTCTCTTTTCGTTAAATTATTAGCGGCTCTGGGAAACTTTTGAACCAAACCTTTAACGACAACGAATGTATGATGTTTAATTCTTTGATGGTGATAAAAGGTAGTAGATTATCAGTATACTACCGAATTATCATTTAAGAATAGTAGATATTTCCTGAGACCTTACTTTCAAGCCCAATTTCAGAATGTGTCTATATTTTCAGTTTAAAAATAACGTTTATAATGTGACCAGAATGCAAATAGAGTAGCTTAACGTAACAGTTCCACAAACTAGAAAGTTTTTTATTCATTTTGGTAGTATTACGGCTACTCAATTCAGTACATGATTAGTCTATAGATTATTTTCGGTCGTTCTACTAATAATTGTTTATTTTACAGTCTCTATTCACTTTTACGATTTGTATTAATATTTTGTAATGTTATCGTTTATGGTATCGGGTTTAACTTGTAACAACTTTTGGAAGTTCTACCTCTTGCTGTCAATCAATCCAACTTCTGGCGATGTCACTCTTTGTCTGTCGATGGTGTGGATGATTTTTTTAACTCACTCTTAAAAGTATTTTTGATCATACAGCATAGTTTTAGATTTTTATTAACAGAAACTTTGATGTTCTTACTTCCTATCTCATCCTTTTTCCATGTCTTGCATATAAAGGATGTAGACTTAGTCGCAAGTGATATAGTTGCAGGCCTCTTTCTTCTACGATGGCAGACTAAACAGTGGGTTGGTACCGGTCATCGTATCCCTTTAAGCTTAATACATCGAGATACTTCTCCTTCGGATTTAAACGTTCATATCTCGGTGAAAGGTGATCAGGTAAGTATCACATATCCATAAATAGTTACGTTTACGGTAGTCTGTGCTAACATGTCACATATTATTTTAATCAGGAGGTTCAGTTTTTGATTTACAACTCCCTAGTCTTTTTTCCACATTTCTATTTATTTCGAGTTGTTTTTAAACTGTAAATAACACATGTATTTTGGGTGGATATTAGTTCTTTAAAAAATAAGATCTTATTAACTCGCTCTATTCCGCCATTTTCCCATTCTCCCCGTTTTCATTGGTATTGCAAGAAAAGTGATTTCATGTGCCTCACCAGCAAACCATAAATAAAATTTGTTACATGCTACTTATTATTTAAAAAGAATTTCTAGCGTGGTGTATTATTCCTCTAATCAGTTTATTAGCTATGTGTATAAGTTCTTGAGCTGTTCATGTCTCATTGGAAGTTACCTTTATGTATCTTCTTTTGTTTCGCCATGAACATTTCGAAATAAAGGTATAGAAACTACATTTAGTTATATGATTAATAAAATAGGAGCGGATCGGTAACTGAGAGTTTAGCATACTTCAAGAGTTACTAGTTGTTGCGATCTTCAAAACAAGTAATTTGAGTGGAATTCTCTACAGGATCATTATATTGGTTTTTTTGAAGTATTGTTGACTTAATATTATACATCCAATTTCCGTTAACACTGAAGCTGACTAAGGTAGTGTTAAGGTCAACAACTCATCAAAATATTTAAAGTGTAAAAGTGGATTACGAACAGTAAGTTGTGACCTGATTGATTAAGTTATTACCTTTGTGGTTTTTAATCATTTAAATGGCTATATTCTAAAAACTACTACAGGGTTCTAGTCTATTATTTATTGAATAATTCACTACAACAGCATTCTTTAATAATAAATATCACTTATTTATACTTTAACTACCCTCGTTAGTTCAAACCCCAAGTTTGTGCTTGTTATGATTGCATTATAAATTCCAAAAAATCTTTTGTGTGTGAACACATTTTTCGTAAATTAACTAATTTCACTGCAATACAAACTTATTAATAATCTCTCTAACTCCTCTGTTAGTAAATAGAAAAGTTCGACTTGGAAAAGCAAACAACTTAGAATAGGTTTTGTAAACTATGTTAAAGCATTGTACTCAATTAGAAGTAAAGATTTGGTGAAGCTATCCAATTTAAAGGTCGTTTGGGTCATGGGCTGACCTTAACCAAACAATTAATGAAAAACAAGGAGTACAGGGAAATTGTTTCATCCTAGTAGAAGATTCTCAATATAGTATATGTTAAATTGAATAGCTGTAAAGATGAGTGATTATAATTTATCACTTAATGTTTTGGATGAAAGGGACAAAATAATATTGTTACCACCAAACGACTAACTATAATAACCTAATACTCTTATGAACGATACAATCCATATCAATAGCGTTACCATAATGTAGCTCAGCAACGAAGTGGAGAGGGCTTGTCTATCCTTAAATTGTGTAATCAACCCCTAATTTATACAATAAGTTTAAACCTAACCATCATACGATAATTTTAACAAGATAAAAGTTAACAGTAATCTCAACCAACTGACAATAGTCGATTAAAGTTAAAATCGAGTGTTTTGTCCAATGCTCACTTTTTGTTCAAAGAAATGTTAACGAAACAAAGTTTAAAGCCTGTGATATTTCAAAACAGATGATTGAATATTCAATAAATCCTTTACGAATAAGTAAACAGATGAATCTCAACTTTTTTAATTATCAGCTTGCAAGTCAGTATTTTCGATTCTAGTAACAGTACTTTTTTACACGAATATTCGTCAATATTAAAACGAATAGTTTGACAAGGACTGGGTGCCGAGTATAGAGAAGACACCATGTGTGAAAATTATATTTGAAATAATCTGAGAGATTTTTTTGCTAGGAACTATAATTTGGATTTGTTATTCTACATTCCAAGTGCACTATTCTCTTATTGTTCATCCATATGAATTACGGGTTCCGACTTCACTCCTAATCTCATAACCTTTAGTTCAAATCTTCGATATGCTAAGAGATGGAAACACTATTTATTTGATACATACCTACCCATGCTACTAAGTCACTCAGGTCAATAGGATATGGTAGAGCTACGATTTAATAACCTGTATCTCGGCATTGTTCACTAACTTGGCAAAATTTAGTTTAATCGGTCACAACATCTATTGAACGTGTGCTTTATAAGTTATTTGTATGTCGTCGAAATGTTTGTGATGATGAAATGAATATACATTTAAATTGAAATAGAATTTTCCAAATAAAAGCTTTTATAATTTATTTATTTATTTAAACACATAAATATTTGTACAAAGAGGCACCAGATATATATGCGCTACACAAATCTCATTTGATTTGTGTGAGGGCTGTGATACTGTCCAGGTTCTCAAACTGAAGTAGGTGGTTTTCTTAGGGGCCCACACCCGGAGCTTTTGACCGAAAGATCTGATCCACAAGGCAGTGGAGCATCGTGAGAAGATGCAGTTCCATGGTACCCGGTGATCAACGATTGATTCATACGCCATTTGTTCCTTTAGGATATTGGAGCCCATGTGCACCATTGGTTTGGAATCAGGGTTTTCCAATTCCCCTAGGTGGATCATCCACATCCACCAACCCGGTTAAAGCGCCGGACATTCGCTTTTCGTCCTCTCAATTTCATAAACAACACCCCCGCCACGAGAAAACAGTGAGTAAGACTTCCCTGACAGAGGCTATATACACGTGACCATATGAGAGCATTTCGAGAGGGAGAGTTGACTCTCCCCACTCTCGGCCGTATCAGGGCATTTGCCGGCTGCCTTTATAATCCTTATCATAAGTCAAGTTTGACTTGTAAGATAGTGGAACCCTGCTTCAGTTTGGGTACCTGGGCAGTATCACAGCCCTCACACAAATCAAATGAGATTTGTGCGGCTCATATATGTCTGGTGCTTCCTTGTATCAATATTTATGTGTTTAAATAAATAAATAAATGTGAGAATGTCTAGAAACCATTGTGAATAACAGATTTATTTGGGACGAAGACAAAGGTAGGATAGAAGAATCTAAAACTATGAAATAGGTTAATTTGTAAATATTATACAGATGTTAGTATTTGTCTAAAAGTTTTAATAACGTCAGATATTACTGTTGTCTTTAAAACACTGGAAATTTTGCCGGTTTACCTCTGAATTAAAATCGTTTTCATGATTTACTAACCTTTTAGTTGGTTATTCGTCAATAGATCTCTGTCATTTTTATCTTCAAGATATACTTAAATAAGCTTTTCTTATTCTTCATGTTTTTCCTGGATCATTAATTAGGGATGACTGGGAAGATAAAAAATTCTGTCTTCTAAACCAAATATTGGTAATTAATGTTATGTACAGTCAAATAAAAGTTCACCTGCTATTACGTATATGATTCGTCTGTGCTTGGTTAAGATACCGACAAAATCCAATCTTGTGATCGCTTTAAGCAACAATACAAGCAGGCTTGTGATGCGTTTCTTTCCCACTAACTGCGAAATATTAGCTCAGGATTGGTCTACATCAACTCCTGAACTGATGGTAGGGGTAAAGTATTTGAAAGTGTCGATCAATTCACTTACCTTAGAAGTCTTATAATATTTATTTGCTTAGCGTATAACAAAGTCTTGACGCTGATTCAGAAAGCCTGGTTGATTTTTGGCAACTCGCGCCACTTGTGACGTGAGAAAGGCATCTATTTCCCAGCCAAAGAACGAGATTACTACACAGGAGTTCGTTCTATTCTACTTCACTACCTTGAAAAATAGAGGATGCTACTGTTTGATCGTAGCTGCCTTAGCAACATTGCTCATGTATGTTGGTACTATTGAGTGAGTGATGCTGAGGTTAGGCAAGTCGATTAATGAAGCAGTAAATCTTTATCATCTGAGATGGTTGGGCGATGGTGGTCAGTGTAGGATAGGTTGGAAAAAAGCCAATAGTGGTCAGACCAAGACGTGGCATCAGTCCACGAAAACAATGACTGTTGGGCTGAGTCATGTAGATAGGTGCAGTCTACCTGACCGGGCTTAACCCGATCATATTAAACAGTGGTTAAAGGCTTTGAGTGACGTGTTTCAAAATTGTTTGCAATGACTCAGAAGCATTCACTTTATCTGTTCCTGGATCCTAAGTTTCTCTATTATCTTAGAGTTTTTTCTTGTGAGGACGGTCCACAGGTGAATTTGAGGAAGCTCAGAAGAAGCCGAACATATTCCATCCAATCAGCTTTTGTAAGAACATTCTAGAATCACTACGTGTAGCTTCCCTATGGGAAAAATGCTAATAACCCCCTGTGTGCGGATTGGATAACTATCATGATGATTTCGTTTTTACTAAAAACTATAAATAGCTGCCAGTTTTGTACCATAATTGACACTGTTTGGAATAACATTCCGTCCACTTGTCTCCTGTCTTCTGATTTTGCGACTTGGGATGGTTCTAGTGTTCGAGCGCTCAAGTTATACGCGACATACTAAGAATCTAAGTTCCAGATATAACATTTCTCATTCCACGAATCAATATTCCCTACTAGAATAGTGTATCTCATGCCTAATCTTTTATACTGGTGATGGTTCTGCTGCTACTTCTACTGCTCTGCGACTCGTCATTTCATTCCGTTGTGCTAATATGGTGTGGTAATATGGACCGACAAACCTTTGTCTCAGGCTTTACTTAGAGTACGACCGACTAATTGTTCTTAGTTCTCAATCTGTTCCCAAACAATATTTATTCTTACGCGGTGAATCTTATTCACATCCTGTGACAGGAATCTGAGAGGGCTTGGTACTTTGATTGCCATTTGAAATCTCAGTACTACCTAAGAGTGTGCTTACACAGATTTTTACCTATCTAAACATTTGTATGATATCATGCAGGTCATGTTTTCAGTACACTATTAGCCCGATATTTGACCCATATTATACACTAGTATTTTATAATTAATTCTGTTTGCAGTTTTATGCTGAGTCGATCTGAACATCGGTCTATGAGTTTCAAACTTAATATATATGTTCACTATTTTTCCAATGGTGGTCTCAGTTAATAAATCGTAGACTGTTAACAGTTCTTCATAAGATTGACTAAAGGAGATAGAACGTTATCACAGGTTGATTGAGAATTTGTCGACCAGATTTTTACCTTTCAATAGATTTTGAAACAGCCAATTTCGTCAACTTAGACGATTAAAACATATTTCACGCTGTTTTACCCCTCGCTAACACCGATATATATGGTGGCTAAAATAGTAGATTGGGAAAAGGGTAGAGAAGGTCACTCTAAGATATATCATCAGTTCGCAAAGTTAATGACCGATTAAATGAACTGTATAGAGGCTTCTTTGTACAGATGTGCACGGTCATTGAAACCTCTGGTTGAAAATATGGCTCAAAATTAGTTTCAATGTCTCTCACTTGTATTCTTTCTTTAGCTCTCATTAAGTGTTGGGTTTTACATTATCTTCTGCTTTTCGAGCCTTATTTATTGTAGTTTTTACTACTATTACCACTTATTTTGGCTTCTTCAGTTTGCACCCTAATATTATCCTCATGATGTGCCAATAGTAAGTGTGGCACATATTTGCGCTATACCTTAGATTGTTTAGTGCTGACCGACGGACGTAATAAAATGAATAGATGAAATACACAACTACTGATCAAAAGGTTATCTATATTATGTGTTGAGGTTTTTTGTAAACTTTGTACGCGTCAGAAAACGAACTCTTGGAACACACCACTTATTTATTTTCCAACCATATTCGTCTCTATCTTCTTACTTACTTACTTACGCCTGTTACCCCTCGTCGTGGAGCATAGGCCGCTCACCAGCATTCTCTATCCAACTCTGTCCTGAGTCTTCCTTTCCAGTTCTTTCCAGTTGCTATTCATCCTTTTCATATCGGCTTCTATTTCCCGGAGTAGTGTGTTCTTTGGCCTTCCTCTTTTCCGCTTCCCTTCCGGATTCCAAGTTAGGAAATGAGTCGTGATGCACATTGGTGATTTCCTTAATGTATGTCCGATCCACTTCCAACGTCTTTTCCTAATTTCCTCTTCATCTGGAAGCTGGTTTATCCTCTCCCATAAAACGCTGTTGCTGATAGTATCCGGCCAATGGATGTTGAGTATTTTGCGTAGACAACTATTTATAAATACTTGTACCTTCCTGATGATGGTCGTTATAGTTCTCCACGTTTCAGCTCCGTACAGTAGGACTGTCTTGACGTCCGTATTAAAGATTCTGACCTTGAAATTAGTTGAGAGCTGTTTTGAGTTCCATACGTTCTTCAATTGTAGAAATGCTGCCCTTGCTTTGCCAATCCTCGCCTTTACATCTGCATCCGATCCTCCTTGTTTATCAACGATGCTCCCCAGGTACTTGAATGTTTCCACCTCTTCCAGAGTTTCGCCATCAAGTGTGATTGGGTTGGTGTTCCCCGTATTGCATTTGAGAATCTTGCTTTTTCCTTTGTGAATGTGGAGGCCTATCGATGCGGAGGCTGCTGCTACATTTGCGGTCTTCATCTGCATTTGGTCGTGTGTATGAGAGAGGAGGGCTAGGTCATCTGCGAAGTCCAAATCATCTAATTGATTCTGAGAAGTCTATTGTATTCCGTATTTCCCATCAGATATCGAATTCTTCATAATCCAGTCAATCACTAGAAGGAAGAGGAATGGGGAGAGTAGACAGCCTTGTCTGACTCCGGTCCTTACTGGAAATGCATCTGTCAGCTGTCCTCCATGCATGACTTTGCACTGTAGTCCATCGTATGAGTTTTGGATAATGTTGACAATCTTTTCAGGAACTCCATAGTGTCGAAGAATTTTCCATAATGTTCTCCTATCCACGCTGTCAAACGCCTTCTCATAGTCAATGAAGTTGACGTATAGTGATGAGTCCCACTCAACTGATTGTTCCACGATGATCCGTAGTGTCGCAATCTGGTCTGTGCACGACCGATCCTTACGGAATCCAGCCTGTTGGTCCCTAAGTTCGGTATCTACTGCGTCTTTCATCCGATTCAGCAGTACTCTGTTGAAAACTTTTCCTGGTACTGATAACAGACTGATGCCTCTGTAGTTTTCACATTTGCTCAGATCTCCTTTCTTTGGTATTTTGATGAGATATCCTTCTTTCCAGTCCATTGGCACTTGTTCCTCTTCCCAAATCTGCTTGAATAGAAGGTGAAGCATGTTTGCAGTTATTTCAATGTCTGACTTCAGTGCTTCTGCTGGTATATTGTCGGGTCCTACCGCCTTCCCACTTTTGATTTGTCTGATGGCCATCTTGACTTCTTCGATCGTTGGTGGAGTGATATCTATAGGAAGGTCAGTGTGTGCTGGTTTGATGTCCGGTGGATTCAATGGGGCTGGTCTATTCAGCAGTTCCTCGAAGTATTCTGCCCATCTTTTCCTCTGTTCTTGAATCTCAGTGATTGTCTTTCCTTCTTTGTCCTTGACTGGTCTCTCTGGTTTGCTATATCTCCCTGCCAATTTCTTCGTTGTATCATATAGTTGTTTCATATTCCCTTCTCTTGCAGCTTTTTCCGCCGTCGTTGCTAGTTCTCCCATGTATTTCTGCTTGTCGGCTTTAATGCTTTTCTTCACTTCCCTGTTTGCTTCTGCGTAGTCTGTTTGTGCTTTGACTTTCTCTGCTCGTGTTCGGCTGTTGTTAATTGCTAGTTTCTTGTTCTTCCTTTCTTGAATTTTGTCCAGGGTCTCCATAGAGATCCATTCCTTGTGATGATGCTTCTTAGGATCAAGAACCTCCTGGCACGTTGAAGCTAGTGCTTCTTTTATCCCTTTCCAGTTGTCCTCCAAAGTAGTTTCTTGTTCTTTCAGTGGATCCTGTAGAGCCTGGAACCTGTTGTTGAGAGCTATCTTGAATTGTTTGAGTTTGTCAGTATCTCGAAGAAAGGTTATATTGAACATTTGTAGTGCTGTTTGTCCAGTTGTCCAGTCTTTCTTTAGCTTCAGTCTCATCTTGGCCACTATCAGGCGGTGATCTGAAGCTATGTCAGCTCCTCTCCGGGTTCTCACATCTTCCATTGATCTTCGGAATTTTTTGTTGATACAGATGTGATCTATCTGGTTCTCTGTGGTTCAGTCCGGTGAGATCCATGTAGCTTTGTGCATGCGCTTGTGTGGGAATATTGTGCCGCCTATAACCAATTTGTTGAATGCACATAGGTTTGCAAGTCTCTCCCCATTTCCATTTCTCTCTCCTAATCCATGTCGTCCAATTACATCTTCATATCCTGTGTTGTCCACTCCAACTTTAGCATTTAGATCTCCCATCAGGATGGTGAGGTCCTTTCGTGAGCACTTCTCTATAATTGATTGCAGCCTTTCATAGAACTGATCTTTATCATCGTCGTTGCTATCATTGGTGGGTGCATAACATTGGATAACGTTCATTGTGATCCCTTTCTTCTTTGTTCTGAATGATGCTTTGATTATCCTAGGTCCATGAGATTCCCATCCCACAAGTGCATTTCTTGCTTCTTTGGACAGCATTAGAGCAACTCCCTGAGTGTGTGGAGCATTTTCCCCTTCGTGACCGGAGTACAGCAGCATCTCTCCTGTACCTAGCCTTTGTTGTCTAGTTTGTGTCCAATGGGTTTCGGTGATTCCGAGTACTGCCAATTTGTATCTCCTCATTTCCATTGCTATTTGGCTGGTCTTTCCTGTCTCCCACATTGTCCGGACGTTCCATGTACCTATAAAGAGTGTTGCTCTGGTTGTTAGAAGGTGCATCGGTCTCGTGACTTCCGAAGAATTTCGGCTTTCATCATGAGACGTCATAATTCTTCCTTCAACTTGGAGGGCAGAGTTTAAATGGCTTGAATTATTTTTTCTGGTTAGCGTTTTTTTAGCGAGTTAGCTTTTCTACAGGATTGGGTCGCTAACCCTATGGCCAACCCTCCTCCTTTACCCGGGCTTGCGACCGGGTAATAATAATGAGATCTTAATTGAAGTCATATGTTATGTACGCGCATTATAATAAAAATATCTATATTATTATTTTACAGATTCCGGATCCATGGCTGGATGTTCAAAGAATATATAGAATTGCCGAATTAGTAACTGCAGTCTACGGAAAGTTATTATATTATAGCATGAATCTTGGTAAACCAGGTGCCACTTGTAGATTGCTTCGTCACTTACCTTGTTGTTTGTAAGTTATTGTAACTGTACACCATATTTATTGTTTAAGTAAACTTACATATATTCATTGTATTTTGTAAGTTTTAAGTCAAACACTGAATATTCGCTTGGTTTATGAACATTTATGTAATTCACCATGACTGTACAGCTATGGTTACTTCGTGATGAACCATATACAAGATGTCCAATCCAAGTTTGCTTTTTGAAAGACAAAATAGAACTATCGGTATTGGATTCTCAACATATACGATAGTGATTTTAACTCCACTAGCATAATTCCTAAATGTTAATTTGCGAAGTAAACGATCAGTTAGAAGGTAGCCTTTGTTGGATGCCATGAAACTGAATAGCACAAACAAGTCAAAAATCTCTCAATTGCAAATTACTGGCTATAAAGTCGCTCGCTGTAAACCAATATTTTATACAAACATATTCTACACACTTCATTTTTACTTTGTGGTAAGATGAGATCACTATTACTTAGTGTGATACGTAGAAACGAGTTGTGAGAAAAAATTGTCAAAGTCATATATACCATGGCTAATTTTAGATTAAGTCCATGAGTAATGATTTTATATCTATTGAATCCATCATCAATCCGATTCGCTCGCTCATTTCACGTAAGCAAATGTTTATTTATTTACTATATTGGCGACCGTACGAGACTTAGATAGTCAAGTACCACCGCTTAGACATGTAGTAATTAACGGTGAAAAAAACATTAAAATTATAACGATTCAATGGTTTTGATATAACTTATTAATCCTTAAATGTTAAATTATCCACTATGGTAAGAGAAAAAGGTCAACTTTACTTGTTGTTAGTACGTTTAGTGATGTGAAATATGACTATAATCATATAGGATTTTCGTTACCAATTGAACCGAATAAAAGATTCAGTAGGCGCTCAATCTCAAGATCAATTATCTGGATTCCGTATGGATCGATTGTATACCAACCGTAGACTACCTGGTTGGGATTCGCGAGATGATAGCAATCGATGGTTAGAGACCTTGAATGACATGGCTGAAAATCGTTTGCAATGGGGAAGGTGCATACACTCTTTGTGTTCTACCAAATTCTAATCTTCTGAATTCTTCATGTCTTTATCTTTTTCTCTTTCCAAATTTATTTCTCTGTACTATACTCCTTCAATAATTTCTTTAAACCCTAATCTTTTGGATTTCTGATTATACTCCTACTACTTCTACCACTATGGGATTTGAATCGACAACTTCATCTCTGTGCTAATGTGGTATGGCAACTCGAACTGATGTACGTACGTACGAAGTTCTACGTTGTAACTGACTGACTGACTGAACCAAATCGCGACACTACGGATCGTCGTTGAACAATCGCTTAAATGGAACTCGTCACTATACATAAACCCCTATGACTATGAGAAAGCGTTTTACAGAGTGGATTGGAGAACCTTACTCTACCTTCTTTGACAATACGGTGTACCCGCGAAGATTGTCACCATCATACGAGGGAATACATTGTTAAGTCGTTCATGGAGGGCAGCTGACAGACGTATTCCAAGTAAGGACCGGTGTTAGACAGGGCTTATTACTCTCGCCTTCACTCTTTCTTCTGGTGGTCTATTAGATTATGAAGATCTCCACATCTCAGGGAAAGCACGGGACGCAAAGGACATCTTGGATGCAGCTAAACAATTTAGACTGCAGATGACCTACCTCTTCTAAACCATGCACAGCGACAAATGCAAGTGAAGATAGCCAATGTAGCAACAGCCTCTACAGCAGTAGGCCTCAACATAAGTGAGGAAGCAAGATCCCGAAACACAACATAGAGACACCAACCCAGTCACATTTGATGGAGCTTTTTGTTATATCATGTGACCGCTGATTAATATCGCATGACTAAGTCACCAATCGGCGGCCTGCTTGAATACCTGGGCTACCTGTTTCTGCCATCTAAATATTTCAACAAGTTATCTGGTTTTTTTAATTTGTTTTAACCTATCATTATGTCTATTAATCGCATAACCTATACAGGCGCGTTTATAAAAAGCTTACATATGCCAATTAGAGACTGACCAGTTGCAGTCCTAACACATCGATGGGAAGATTAAAAAAAACAATACTAATTGAATTTAAACTTCACCCCATCGCACAAGCAAGTGGCTATCAGGACTCAGTGGCCGAGTGGATAACTCTATGGCGTTTGAAGCGAGGGTACTGGGTTCGAGTCCCAGAGTGAACATCAACTCTGAGATGCAGGTACATCCAGCTGACGAGTCCCAAATAGGACGAAACGCGCGTCCTGGATTCCACTGCTAGCCAATATCCATCTCTGCTTACTATGCTTGTGAATTAAGGCTATATGCACAGTATGCACATATGCCAATTAGAGACTGATCAGTTGCAGTCCTAACACATCGATGGGAAGATTCAAAAAAACAATACTAATTAAACCTACGTCCTTTCGCTGCAAAAATTACAAACAAGTACAATAAGAGACATCGTGGTGGTTGGCAATATGCTTTAAAGAGAATAAACATTAATCAAATGTCGATTCCCGAGCTGCTTAACTCTAACTGTTGATCAGTAATTAACAAGGTGGACTATCTCCAATTTCTGCTAAGTCAAAACATGTATCGTAATTGTGGTGTCATCACAATTCAAGAATCTTGGTTAACTGACTTACAGGATGATTGCTTAGTGTCATTACGTGATTTTAATATCTATCGTCAGGATCGATCAATTTATCTACTGATTAACATGTTTGCTTTAAGTAGATTTTAATACTAAAGCAACTCCCAAAACGGAATCTAACTTTTAGTACCGGTCAGAGCATTGTTGTTTAACATTTTGTAACTGAAATGATGTTAAAATGTGTTTGCCCATTAGGTATTTAGTTTGATTATAATAATAGTTATTCAGAAATAGGAAGTTGCACTGGTATAATTTAATTCGGCTACAGACTTTATACCAGCAGTATTTTAAAGTATAATTCCCAAATTCGAATGTACAAATCTAATTTTGAAAGAGATGACGCAAACATTCATACTTACGATAAAATCGGAACGAAATGACTCAAAATCTAAAACCAGTCATATTTCACTTATGATTTTCCAGTAGGTTTTTATGCTAAGAAATGTTAACATAAGGCTATAAGTTACTCTCAGTCATTCACAATATAAACATATAGAAATCTATGCTCATTGAGTTTCGAAAATCGGTCGTTTCTAAGACCCTTCAGTTGGTTTAATAAAACTGTTAAACGACTGAAGCGATTGGGTCGATAATTTTCCTAACCGAGAATCTATGTTCGGAAATAAAGGTATCGCTTATGTACGAATTATACGAAAAAAGTATTGTATTGTTATGCTACTTATCATTCAAGAAATGGAATAATCATGGATGAAAATAAATGTATACTAACTCAATGATTATTTACTCCTGTTCGTTGTAATCTTCACTTACATATAAGGAGAGTTTTCCACTCATTCAACAACTGCGAAGTTTTGATGGTATTAGACTAGTCAGAATTTAATTCTCCAGTTGCACTACAAAATTTTCTTGTACCAAACAGTTTATATGTAAAACCATGACTCTTCTATTCAAGTATTTAAATATCTCGATTGTGTTGACTTGCTATTACTTTACCAACAAACTAAGCTTTATTGCAGTTAGTTCCCTTTATGAATTTAAATAAAGATAGAACAAATATTGATGCAGAATAATATGAATTCATTATATTTCGTGGTTTCTCATTCCCTTATGTCAGTTGTTCCATTCTATTTATTACCCTAATGCTAAAACTCTAATGCATATTTGGTTGTAAGCAGCTGATGAGAAACCACGAAATATAATGAATTCATATTATTCTGCATCAATATTTGTTCTATCTTTATTTAAGCTTTATTGTTCTGCGCAAAACGATTAAACTAAACTTAAAATAAAATAGGGTCAAAGAAGACTCATCTTAATTAACATAGTGTACGTTTTAATTAGTATTGCGCTGTATTTTTGAAATATAAATATCTGTTTTCTTCATTTATCTGAAGAAAGTAGTGTTTTATTTTCTTTCCGAAAATAGCTTCTTGGAAAGTTAGTGAAATTGTTTTCAATTTAATAGGAGTTTCAATGCAATCATCAATTAACATTTCATAGTAGGTGGTAAAAAAGCTCAAGACGGTTTATGATTTGTAATTAGTTAGGATACAGATATACATATATTAATCTTGTTTACTATTAAAGATAAAATAATGCTGTAAATGTAAGTTTGTAACACTCATTTATTAACATTATTTCTTCATCCTATCTACTACTAGCTATCCCCGAAGGATTTAGGTGATCAAATATCACTATTGCTGTGTACTTAAATCTTGTTTGATATACAGCGATTTCGTCATCAAATAATGTAATGTTGTTTCGATAATCCTCTTTTGTCTATCAGCTCAATTTCACCCTAGTCGTTATGCTTTAATTGTTTAGTTGATTTCGTATGAAACTGTTAGTTTCTAATTGACTATACATACTGAAATACTTTATATTACTGAAATAGTTTTAAACTACTCATATAAGTGTTATCAGAAAGCCTTATAAACACTATTATTATTAATTATAGAAGGGGTTTTGTGGAGATTTAGTATTTATCATTGACTCGCTTTCAACAATGATAAAAACTATTATTATTATTATTATTATTATTATTATTATTATTATTATTATTATTATTATTATCTATACATATATTTTCTGTTTATTGTTTCCATGAAGAAATTCTTTTAATCCTGTATCATCTGGAAATACAAAACTTAGTTGTTGTATATGCTCAAAATACACATGTGATCTGGCAGCAATACTCGAATTCACTTGTTTAAGAGAAGATCAGTTTATCAAACTATCTTATGATAATTCAGTATGTCATTACAATGAATTGTTTTTACATATTATTTAACAATATTAATTTTAATAGCTTGTATAATTTCATTAATTCATCTGCTGAATTATTTGAAACAAAAAATGAGACTTTTCTCCAGCCTACAACTATTCTAATGTGGCTGGTTACTAGATATTGGTCTTTTTTCTGCATAAAAAAACGAGAATTCGCTTATAAAATATCGAAAATTGGTCCATGTTTTGATGACCTCATGCTAAAAGATAAATGTGATGGTTGAACACATACATTTTTCCGCCTGTTAAATAACAGTTTTTTTTAACTCTTTCTTCTGAGTTTAAGTATGGTTTATTAAATTATTGAAGTGCAGATAACTGGTTTTATAATCAAACAAATTTTAAAAATTCTACCTATGCATTAATCATTACAACAATGTTGTTTTATCAACATAGCGATTCGTGGAGATTATTGAACATTATTGATATCAATAGCCGACACAGGTTAAACATCTATGAAAAACCAGGTAGAACTGGATAAATGTTTCATTTTAGTGTGGAATACCTTAGCAGTTCTTATCCACGACCGTACAGAGAATCGTGGGTCGTCTTATTAGGAAGAATGCAGTGATAAAGAAAAATCTTGGCTTATTATTACTGGATCACTGGGAAATTCAGTGTTTTATCATCAACCATACTCTTCCAAATGAAAAACGAATCAAATAATTTCTAGTAAAATCATTTAATTTGGCATCTCAAATGAAAGTAGATCGAGTTAAACATTAGTAGTGCGAAACTGAATCTTATTTCCTTTGAATTATTAATTTTCCATTACTTGACCTGTTCATAGGAAACAAACCCTACTTTATGTTCACCACTTTAAAGTTTAAACCTTATTTTTGGAGGTTTATGTTAAAGCAGTTAAATGCGTAGTCTTTCAGATGCCTCATACATAAACTGTCTTTTTCTCTATTGCATTCTTTCCTCCCGATAAAGAGAATACTTGTCTTATTGATTGGTTTGTCTATCGATGAGTCAGTCTTGTAAAAGAAAATAGACTCTTGTATGACACGTTATTCAACATTATTTGTATTTAAATATTGGTTCTGTGCATTGAGAACTGAATCATGTAGGTTTTTAAGTAACTGACAGGAATTCATGGCGAGGGCAGTGTTAAACTGTAAATTTTGGCCTTTGTACTTAAGCACTGTTTTCATGTGCTTTTTTCAACCAGTTTTACTTTACATAATAAGAAAATTAGCGACACATTAATAAATACACTTATTCCATACCTGAACAGCGAGATGTCATCAAATCGTTTTAGAATCTTGATATTATGTGAGAACTCTAATTTCTGAAAAATATCTGTAGTTATTTAATACTGAGTGTTCAGGCATTAAATTATTAAATTTTAGTGACAAGAAATAGAACCAATAAACTACTTGGTTTATCCATCTGCTATCTTCTTTTTATTCCTTTCTGGGAATTTTATCTTTAGATGTCTTGAATACCTAATGAATACTGTCAAATATTGATTAAAAGTTTTATCTTCGATAAAATTGAACGTAATATCTGTTTGTAGATGTTGCTTTTCATCTCAATTTGTTTCTGCAAGCAAATATTAACAAAATATTAACCCATCTATCGTACCTGTCAACGTTTATCAGAAAGAAGAATCAATAAACTAGCATTTGCTCTCGATTCCTTTTTTGAAACTCCCTACGTCGTAATGTTCTATTGTCAATTATTTGAGTCATGAGTTAGGCTTCTATGGAGGAATTCTAGTAATCAGAAGAGATTTTAAACTGTATCGTTCATACTATATTAACAGCGATAACATTGTTTTTATATTGACTCGTCGACTTCAATTCCTTTTAATTTTTTTCTAATATGTTTCATAGGTTTACCAATCTCCTTACTTTGTAGCAGTCGATGATTTTAGTAAGTGTATTGTTATCTCTATCCGTGGTACACTGTCATTTGATGACACTATAGTCGACTTGCTGTACGACGGTGTACGATTGAGTGAAGTTGAAACTTTTGTCGAATCAAAAACGGGTAGACGACCATGTTTTATTGGACATCGTGGTATGGTTGAACGATCAAGACATTTATATGATTGTTTACTAACTGATAAATCAATTGAAACAGCATTTAGTAAAAAACCACAATATAAATTGGTGGTATGTGGTCATAGTCTGGGTGCTGGAATTGCATCTTTTCTTTCAGTCATCCTACACTGTAAATATCCTGATGTGAAAGGTTATGCTTTCAGTGCACCTTTGGGTATGATGAAGTAAGTATCATTAATACCATGCCATTTATTATTAAGTAGTCATTAGCTCTATTAGTCCAGTTTCATTAATCATCGTTTATGTTGTTTTCGCAAAAAAGATACAATTTCTACACGTGCTAATTAATCTCCACAGTGGAATAATCATCGGTCACCTCTGTAGATTACTTACTATATATCGTCTCTGTAAAAACCAACAGCCTATTCGTGACATAATGAAGCCAATATTCTGTATAGCTTTTTTAATTTCAGATTAATGTAAATTCTTTTTACCACCTTTGTGAATGTTAAGAAATAATGGAATCCGTAATTGGTGTATATACACGCTTGACTTTTTATACTACTAACTTGATAAGCGACACGATCAAGGTGACTTATGAGGCCAATCTCGTCATTTCGCCTAAATTAATCACATTATATATAGTCATAGTCCAATTGACCTAATATATTATTAGCAAACTATGGCTGTCATCTATATAAACAACAAGTAGCCAAAACAGTAGGAACATTATAACTGCAAAGATGATAATTCAAGCAAATATTTGTACTGTTTTGACAAGTGCGTTCAATTTTGTGTAAAGTCGACACATAGTTTCTATCGTAAAAGTTAAATTCTTTTTCGAAAGTTTGTCAGGTGGCAAATGAAATCGAATTAAGCTACTAATAATAATTATGATTCCGACTGACTTTGTGATTAATCATTGTTCCCTCTCAATACGAAGTATTCGTTCAGTTTTCAATGTGTGGTGAATTACACATCCACTAACTTCATTTATTTTGGCTGTATACTAGTCTGTTTTCTTTTGTCTCATATCTTAGCGCTAAACTCAATTCTATGTGTATAGAATTTGGCATTACTTGAGCCAATGTACCTGTGAGTCACCACCCACCTTTTCAAAACCACTTTTTTTCTAAAAATGAAAACTGTTATTCTATACATCGAGGTCAAAAATAATCAATCACTCTTAATTATGATTACTAATGTGTTATTAATTTGAGTTTGTGTGAGATCATTTCGAAAACTTTATTATAATTAGATGTATGTTTTTGTTTTTTGATAAATATCTCAAATTTGTATGATGAGTTATATCTTCCATTTACTCAGCCCGATTGAACTAAAATTTAGTTAAGATGTTTCATTCCTTAGTTTTTCACTATGGAAGTATTAAAACCAAAATGTTTCTTAATCTGAATAACATTATAGCTAGTGCAAATTAAAGTGTAGGCACGGGTCTGTCTGCAGGTGAATAGAACTCTGTTTTTATAAGAGCTAATAAATTCTATAACATAGGTTACTTCATAAAAATAATTTATGAAAACTAACATGGATTAGCTCGGTTTACTTGTGTTGGGACGGTTTCCGGGAAGCACGACTGAGCCTCCATAGGCCCTAAAGGAGCTGAAGAGTTTCCACCGACTTTAAAACCTGATAGAACTTTCTAGAATATCAACGCGACATCCTACGATTGCATGGTAGCTAAACTTGCCTCCTTGTGGATTGACTGGATGTTATAGCAAACACATATCTACAAATACCCCTAGTTTTCTGTACATTTTTGATTTTCACCGAACAATCACTTCATTGGCGTGCATACTCAAATTATTTTTCGAAAATATACGTGTGATTATCGTAAATTTATCAATAGAATCCTAGAGTTTCTGATTACTGGATTTTTTAAAATCGTTTTCCACTTTTTATCTTGTAAATTTTTTTCCAACGTTTAGTCAAGAACTAGCCGATTATTGTAAACCTTTCCTACTATCCATCATCTATGGATATGACATTTTTGCACGTATGAATAAATCAACGATATCGGATTTCAAGTGGAGACTAATTGATGCTCTATCTGCTTGTAAGGTACCCAAGCATCGTCTTTTAAGTCGAGGATTATATGTATGCATGCGTCGTTGTTTGTTTAAATGGTGTTTACCTCAATGTTTTCAACCAGGATCTTCAACAACTGTTGGTAGTGATACTCTACTACTGGATGCAAGTACTCAAGAGCGTTTAATTTATTCCATTCCACAACTTCCGTGTGATAATGATGAAATGCAAATTCATTTCTCGGTAGATGACGATACTTCCGATTCAGGTGAATAATACCATAAAGTTAAACTTTACTTTTTCCCCCGGCGATTATTCATTTATGTGAACCTAAAAAAAGATGATTTTAAAGTAGGCGTCATAAAAGTATTATACAGTTTTTTTCGGCGTTTCGTTTTAGCACACCTTCATCAAGTCTGTCATATAATCTAAACCTTTACACAGGGGAACTTGTTAACAGTAGCTACTTAGATGCTCATATAAAATATTACTCTCTTTGGAATAATAAACCACAGTTTGGTATTATTATCAAATTAATTAACTCTCTGGTTCTTTTACTATGATTGATTATATGTAAGAAGTTATTAACAACATGAGTTATGTATTGAGGTCTGTATAATCTTCACTGTACACTGAAATGGTGTTATTCAGTCAAAGAATTAAACCGTCATACCTAGCCTGAGAGCTTTTATTAGCAAACAGTAGTAAAATGGTGTATTTTGTTTATTATTCTACCAACAAGTTCGTGTAAGAAATTAATTTTAGTTTTTATGTATATGTTACTATGGTATGATAAAATTAGTTGTGTAAAACTACAGATAATTTTTGTAGTTATGCGTAAGATATCTCACTGTTGACTAACTTGTACAGATTAATAAATTAGGTAACGGAATGAATTTGTACTATTCTATGGTGGCTATTTTTAATCAAAACCCATCCAGTGGCAAATCAACTGTCTGTTAATACATACTTTCGTATTTATGAAACCTAAGGTTTTTTACTATTCCATTAACTGTCAAGCTTTGAGTTTCGATGAAATAAACTTGTCTATAATGTTAGATGTTTCTAGCTGAGTTCTTAGTTCAGTCATGAATTAAATGATTATATTAAACTAGATAAGTGTGCTTACTCTTCGGGGCGCTTCAGAATCATCCATATCATAGTGAAATAGAATGGCTGATACCTTACACATGCACCGAAATATGTTGTTTAATTCAGGATCTCTTTATGGTTGCTTATATCAAATGTTTTACACATATCCATTTAATTAAATCTTATAATTCAAGTCACTTGTTCATGCCATTCTGTGTTTTGTAGGTTCCACACGTGCTTATCGTACTGCACGATCCAGTCGTTTTCGTCCTGGTCCACGTTCAATTTTGTGCTGGATCAATCCTAATAGTCTTCCAACAGGTTCTCAATCTAAAATGCCTGTTTCACATATTCAATACCGAAACAATAGCAATACTGAAATAAATCCATACTCTTCAAATGAAATTCAGTCGTGTGATCTTGAATCATATGATCTATCCAACAGTGTGTTTGGTGGTTTAGTGCTTCATTTAGTTGATGTTACTGTTGATACAGTTGTCGATGACAGTCCTACTGGTTTCGTAATGGATGAAGATAATTCTCAAGGATATATCGAACGCACTTCATCAAGCTGTAGTTCTAGATTGGAAAAGATATTTACAGCAAAGTCTAGTAAAATGAGTGCATGGTACGTTTTTGTAAATGACTTCTCCTGTATATCTGATTATAATTAAATAAAGTGATCATTATCTCTGATAGGACTATCAGTTGTAATCGTTTACAAGAAAATTAGTGCACTTGTTATCGATTCCCAACAGTCAGTCAGTTCTTTTACAAAAACAATGCATCCCATGTAGGAGGTAAACATGTGTCCTGCGTTATCTAAACTTGATTTCTATTTTTTATAGAACGGTTGCAAATATCCATTATTATATATTTTTTACTATGATGGATCCAATATTTGCAGTTGTTTCTTATGCTAAGGATCCTAAACCATGAACGCTTTTAGAAAGTAGATAGTTTCAATGTTTACTGTATGTATCAGACAATTTTTCTATGATAAAGCAGTTTTTTATTTTAAACTATTGATAAATTAAACATTTAAACATGGAAAATGATTATTTCCATTTTATGAAGAAAATGAAATGATTCTCAGTCTAAAACTGATCTAGAAGAAATATTGAAAAAATTTTTTTTAGCAGAAGTTAAGTACGTCTTCTGTAGTCCTTAACTTTTGTGTCATCTCTTTCAGCTCAATTTTATAGCTTGCATAGCAAAAATCACGTGACCACAGACATTTATCCGACCAGCAGCCATGGCGAACGTAATATTAAGGTTAAATGCATATTGGTATCAAGTTCTTATTGAGATCATGAACCGATCAACGTTGAACCTCTATTGAAAACCTGGGAGCACTGGATGGCTGTTTCGTTCTAGTATGCGATTCCTCTGCAGTGCTCATCCACGACCCACGGTATTTCATAAAATTGGTCAATCATATACGACACTAAATGTATGTCTGTCTCCTCTCACTAGCTGATTTCAGTCAGGGTTGCTCGAATACGCCACTCATAAATCTGGAGGCCGTCAGTTTATCGCATAACATCTGGTTAACGTATCGATAAACAAATCAGTAATAGTTTACTTTGTGGACAAGCCAATCAGGATTGAGAATGTAGCCCTTAGATTTTCGCACAAAATCCAGTAATCTTGTATAATAAGCAGTAAAAATATCTTTTTATACCCCTCGAAACTCTTTAAATGATAACGAAAAAGTACTTTTCCCCATTATAGAGCAAATATATAGTGTTAGTACTTAATTATGTCTGTTTAAATCATGTATGACAGGCAAATTGTAACTGTCAACCCCTAATCTCGAAACGTGATGGCGCTGTATTTCATGGAAGAACTAATCAGATAGCTCCTCACGTATTTTTGAGTGAAATTCAGTCGTTTACATGACCGAATAGCATCTTACATTATAGTTGTGTCAGTTTGTGATGAAAACGCAAGGCCTAAACACCTAACCCCAACTAGGAACAATCTGTCTGGTTCCTTTTAAGGGTTCTAGGAAACGGAAAACCTATGGATGAGTTTATGTGCCGTTGTTCTTTTGAATCTAAACGAGATTACATTGCAGAAAACATTAATAGGTATATTATGTGAAATCTGGGCAAGATTATGCTATACCGAAAACCTTCAGCAAATTTATGAGTGACTCTGAGAGTAGCCAATCAAAATCAGCTTTCCAGTTTGAGTTTCAGAATGTAGGAAAACTATAGGATTATAGAGGATTAAGAGTTTTAAAATCATAAATAAACTTAATAACGCTAAATATCACTAATTCAAGCTAGATATCATAGTTCTGTTGTCAGGATACACTCTAAGTCGTAGCCCTACGTTAATTCAATTCTAACAACCCTGTGACTCCTAGGTGTCAGATCCTAATCCTAAAATTTCTTACCTTTTGATCTTAACCCTAAAGCTCCCAAACACCAACACCTAACCTTTACACTCATAACCCAAACAAACTGACCTTGATAGTTCATTCCATAAGGTAATCACCATTCAATCTTTTCGAAATATAATAAAAATCACCAGTTTTATAATCAAGATATCGACAACAGTGTTTTAAATTCGCACATCAGTCTGCTTAATTTTCATTGATCCTTAAAATTCGTCTATACAGTATAGTCTTACCACGTCATAAAAAGTAAGCATGGTAAGCAACACTGGAATGAATAACATTAGTTCAACCAAGATAACCTAAAATATTTTTTTGTCCTTGCTACAAAGCATATCATAATAATACTGTTTATTTTCAACATATTTATTTATTTATTTAAACACAAGCATGTGTATAAAGGGACACCAAAATATATATACTCCACAACTTAAAGAACAGATTATGAAGAAATAGATAAAGAAAGGTGAATATACTAAGAGAAGGAAGGATACGTGTTACGTATGCCCAACCACCGACTGCCCCGACGTGCAATGTTTCATGGTGTAGCAGTAGGTTGGAAGAAAGCTAGGGGCGGCCAGACCAACACGTGGTACAAATCGATGAAGTCACTGACAAGTGGACTGAGCCATGTTGGTAGGTGTAGACTACCTGGTTGGGATTCGCGAGATGATAGCAATCGATGGTTAGAGACCTCGAATGACATGGCTGAAAATCGTTTGCAATGGAGAAGGTGCATCCACTCTTTGTGTTCTACCAACTTCTAATCTTCAGAATTCCTCATGTCTCTATCTTTTTCTCGTTCCAAATTTATTTCACTGTATTATACTCCTTGAATAACATCTTCAAACCCTAATCTTTCGGATTACTGCTTATACACTTATTACTTCTACCACTATGGGATTTGAATCGACAACTTCATCTCTGCTAATGTATGGCAACTCGAACTGATGTACGTACGTACGAAGTTCTACGTTGTGACTGACTGACAAGAATGGATAAAAGATAGTGAATGACAGCAAAGAAAATGGGGGAGCCAGTTCGGTAAAGAAAAATACAACTAGGAAGGGATCTTTCAGTCAAAGAAGTTCGTTTCACTCTTATGAAGAGAGTAAGCGAATATTACAGCAGGATCGCTTCTGCATTCTGTTCTGGGTCATGTCTCGTAAGGTATCAAGTCACTGTGTTCCACTATCTTTAGGGCCCTAATTAGGGAGTCCTGAAGGACCAACAGATCCTTGTCCCGTACAGCTTTCTTTCACACCATAATGACTTCAGCAAGATTATCTCAGGTGTTAATAGATATACGCGGGCGAATGTCACGTCCTGGTCACCCAGACAGTGGAAAGATATGTGTTCTTGAGGGACCTGGAAAAGAAACCGAATTAGTGGGTGGTCTTAATGACCTTGGAGCGTGACTGCAAAGCCCTAGGAATAACTGCTTGAGGCCGGTTGAGAACGGACTTTTTATGGGTAGTTTCGGGTGTGTTAGCTTCTCTTCAAAAAGCCTTATCACCGTAGACGGAAATACGCAAAATAAGTTTAAGTGTGACATTTTTAGGGTCGATCTTTTCTAAACCTTTCCTCCCGTTGTAAGGAGGCAGCATCTCTGCAGATGCCAGTTGTCCGAGGGAAACCCCTTACTACTTCCACACCCCTCTACAGTCGGCAGTATGACTTTGCCTTCGGGCTTCTAGTTGCTCCTTTTAGTCTTACCGACCTGCTTGGCATGATAGGGCCTGGTGGAATAGTTCTTACAGCCAATGAAGCTCGATCGAATTATCACGATAAGCAAATCCGATCACTACGTTAAGGTTGCAGTTACGGTCGGGAAATATATATATCTATATCCAGTCGTATCCTCGATGCCTAATCTATTCTATTACCACCGATACTGTTGCTACCTCTGCTGTTTCGAGAGTTGACCTGACAACTTCATCTCTCTGTGCTAACGGAGTATGGCAACTTGAACCGATATAAATTCGTACAAGTTCTACGTCGTGACTGACTGACACCATGATATCGTCTCACATAAATTTCGCGCCAAAATTCAAGACCTGCTATTTTAAATTTGGTTGGTTCGTCCATAAAATAATGTTTTATATGCAACATGTTGAATTGATTATCTAAATAACCAACTATCTGGTAACTCCTTATTTGAATTATTTACTAAAATTCATCTTCTTATATGATAATTTTAACACCACGTTCTTTTCGAATTTTCTCTGAATTTAATTTGCATCATCTTGGCAATTTTCTATAGTATCTGTGTATATCTTTAAGATTATCTGGTTTAGTAAACATCGATGCTACAACAGCCTGTAAATACTTACAGCTGATATCCTTATATATATATAACTTTTTAGGGCCTACGTGTATCCATTCTTTGCCTAAATTTTCCCCCTTAGTAACGGTAGTATTTGTATGTAAAGAATAATTGAGTATGAGTTCTTCAGACAACAGAATAATCATTTATTCAAGGTCTCAATATTAGGTATATTTTCGTTTAGTTGTATCTCAATCTTCAAAATCGGCGTTAGTTCTCAATCTGACCGATTGTCAAGAATTCTTAAAAGGTCCTATATCTTGAAGTCATGTATGGAATTAAATCCTCGATTTTGATTTTCACTACTTTTGATTCACAAAAGCATTATAATGTGCTGTAAGAAATTGTTGGACTGTTCATTAGCAAGTTGAACTAGAGTGTATTTTTTGAGATTTGGAGAGGATGTATTCTTCACTCATGGAGTACCACCCATCACTTCTGATTGACAACCATCCCCCACCTCTCAACCAAATGACTATTAAAGGTAAAACCAAGATTTATTTACTTTTGCTTATATTGTTAATAAGTAAAATGACATATATATAATCAACGCTGTACTATATGTAATCAGAATTCATCTAAAAATCAATTCTCACTATTTCAAAGTGTATACTACGATCATTACTTTTGTTTTAGATTCTTATAGCTATATTCAAGTATACATGAACCGTTTCTTCGTTAACGCCTTGTCTTAGGAATATCTTATATGCTCCTCCTGTGTTTTCTTATTTCATTTGGTATACTTCTAGTTGTGTCAAACCTCGTAAATTGAGAAAAACGATAGTTGGTGTCTGGTCACACCCGCAACAATTTCAGACGATTTTAATCCATCCGAAAATGTTAAGTCATCACTTGCCAGATCGAATTTTGGAAGCAGTAAGTTGCCTACGTCAAGAGTTACTTTCGGAATCAGCAAACTCTTTGGATGATAATGATATCGTAAACAGTTTGAAATCATCCGGTTATATACGAAAGTTGAAAAATACTTCTTAATGTTGTCGTGTTTTCCCCTTATTATCATTGCAGCGAGTGAAATTCTTCAATTTTATTGTCATTCGATTAAAATATGTACCATCCACTAGTATCATTCTTTGACATCAGTTCAATTTCATTCCGTTTCTTGAGTTCAGTATTGTACTCTTTTGGGTTACCTTAATGTAATCGTTCTATGAACCATATATTTTTTGCACTGGTACGTTGAATGTAAATAACTTTCCACTCTCTCTCTCTTTTGTGACATAACTAGAATTAAACTGAAAAAGTATCCTAGCAAGTGAAGCATCAAAGGCAGTTTGATTTTTTGTCTCAAAATTTAGTGGGAATGTGTGCAAAAGTTGTTTCCCATCCATTCAACAATATAGATTCTATCTGGAATTCCGAGCTTTAGGTGTTTGTTTGAAAAGTTCCGAACAGATCATCCCTTCAAAGTATCTTTAGCTGTTTCCACAAACACTTTTTACAAGCCTAATCAGTAATACGTTTTTTTACATCTTATTTGTTTTATGAAAGTCTTCTCTACTCACTTTTTGTATCCGTGTTTTTTCATTTATGAAAATCATCATAATCACCGTCATTATTCGTATGTTAGCAGGTATTTTAAAGCTATAGATTTCCTAAGCGATCTATTATCTTCTAGCGTAGTTGACTGATTGTATCTGTTTTCCCTTGAAATTTTTTAACAAACCTTTATTTAAGTGTAAGTGACAGATAAATCATACTCATTAGTAATAATTTTTATGAACACATTATGCATAGCTGTGATTTTCACTAGTCTTTCGGGGATCATACACGGACAGCTCATCTGTTTCCCTTAATTCTCGGTAACAATTATTGATTGTTGTACCTACTAGTGTTTTTTTAAGATGGAGAGTCTTTGCTCTCCTCTTAAAGTACTTTAATTATGTATTACTTTTTTATCATTCGTGAACGTTCATCTATTTTTTGTTCAGTTTAATATTAAAACTGCTTAATTTTATATCATTTTTATAAAAAAAATTGTTAATGACCTTGACTACATATTATTTCAGGTCACATGCTCTCGTTCATTTTATTTTTTCGAATAAAATAGTCTTATTATTTTCACGGTAGCTATCATAACAGATTAAATGAAGATGTGTTCAAAGATGTAAGAAACTAGTCGATAGTGTGTACACTTGCAATTTTCTTGTTCTGTTTAAATGTATAGTATAATAGCCGAAAAAGGTATACAGAAATCGAACTCTATTTTAGTTGTTCGTGACTAGACTAGTCAACAAACTACACCGGATATAATGGAAGATGTCATTATTTGATGAAAAATGACAGAGCAAACCGGATTATTCTCACGAATCTTAAGGGTTATCAACAAACTTTGTTCTTTTTGGTAATCGGAGCCATTTTGTGTCATGGCTATTGAATTATTGATTAAAGTATCCTAACTTATTGAATGGCCTTGGAAACAGATTACTAAATACATGGTACTGCTTCGCTCTAACTTTTATCATCTTCCTATTTTTCAAGCTTTAAAGATTATTTATTTGAAGTTTGTGTAAATGAAGTTCTCCAAAACTAATTAGACTATTTGCAGTCCACTCTGTGGGCGTGGGTCCGAATCCCACTGCTGACACTAGATTTATGACCCCCAAATTCCTTGGTACGGCCGAGAGTGGGGAGAGTCCGCTCTCCCTCTTGAAATGCTCTCATATGGTCACGCGTATATAGCCTCTGTCAGGGAAGTTCTACTCACTGCCTTCTCGTGGCGGGGGTGTTGTTTACGAAATTGAGAGGACGGAAAGCGAATGTGCGGCGCTTTAACCGGGTTGGTGGACACGGAGGGTCCACCTAGGGGAGTTGGAAAACCCTGATTCCAAACCAGTGGTGCACATGGGCTCCAGTATTCTGAGTGAACAAATGGCGTATGAATCAATCGTTGGTCACTGGTTATAATGGGACTGCATCTCCTCACGATGCTCCACTGCTTTGTGGATCAGACCTTTAGGTCGAAGGCTCCGAGTGTGGCTCCCTAAGAAAACCACCTACTTCAGTTTGAGAACCTGGGCAGTATCACAGTAATCACGCAAAT